GGGTGAGCGGGGCGGGGGAGCGGGGAGCCAGCGGGCCGGGTCCGGACTGCGGCCGGGCGCTGTGGCTTCGCTGCGTTGGGAGGCGCGGGCGGGAGGAGGACGGTGCACTTTGTCCGCAGTAGCATCCTTCCCTGTCAGCGCCCGAGCCCGGGTCCCGGCGCTGCCCGAATCTCAGGTGCGGCTGTTTGCAGCGCTGTCACGTCGCCCCCAGGCTGGCCAAGCAACCGGACTGCGCTACCAGATAGAAAATGGTCTGCTTAGAACCACAGTGACAGTACAATCTAAAGCCCTGGTATGGCTTGGTGACAGTCCGTTCACTTTGCTTACCCCCTTAAAAAAAAACCCTATCAGTTGAAGGTGGCTTAGCTTCAGGCATTAAGGCATTTATTTGGTGGTGAGCAATACTGCTGAGACACATCGCTAATGGCCTTGACGCATACTGGAATTAATATTCGCAGTTCTTTTTAGCTTTGGAATTTTTCAGTTGCTTATAAAACGCCTGTTTCCTTTGCTTCTTCCCACCTTGTTAGCGGTGTTATTTATGTAGAGACTCAAATTTCTTATGTATGAAAATACCTAGAACATAGAGTATTCAGGGAAGATGGAATATTTATTTATGCAAAGATGATTTTGTTTTAATGTCAAAGCTTCTTTTTTTTATTTTGTAAATGGCAGTCTAGTGCCTGCTATGACTGATGTCATTTCAAATAGTGCCTCTTAATCTTTCAAAATACATGAGCACTTTTCAAGGAATATTCTGGTTATTCATACTTGATGTGTTCTTCAGGAAGAACTGTGAGCCACGGGTTGACAGTGAATTGAACAATTAGTTCTGCTGTCAGTAACTGACTTATGAGACATAAAGGGATCCTAGGGAATTGGGGAAGAAGCGGGTTCACAAGCTGAGCTGCGACTGATGCTCAGCTGCTCTGCTCAATTGATCTGAAAAGGAATTTGCAGTATACCCCGTGGCCCGTGGTTTTTCTCAGTGTTGACGATACATACTGCAGTCAAGGCCCCAGAACAACAGTGAGAGATTTTTCTAACCTTTTCTAGCCTCTGCATTCCAGGGCTAAGTCTAGAATCAGAAGAAATCCTCTGGGAGGAAGGATGGTACTTTTTACCTTAATTCCAAAGATTGAGTACCTGGGGAAGGAACTCTACCAGTGCAAATCGTAATGTTAGCAGGTTGTTTAAAGGCGAATTTCCAGTCCTAAGTAGGGAAGCCTTAGCCACACACGAAGATGTGAAAAATTTAGGTGAATGGGTAAAGGAAGATGACAGAAGTTGCCTCCCATTCGTCTTGGCACAGAGAAAGGCTATTTTGTCGCTAGTCTTTCTAACTATGTGGCCAGGCTTTCCAACTTGGAGGGCAATGGTTGCTCTGTCTCATTTGTTTGAAAAGCAAACTTCAAAATATAAATAAAAAATTTTTTATTTTTATAAAATAAAAAAATAAAGTAACTTATTTAATTTATTATTTATTACTTATTTAATATAACTTATTAATTACTTATGGAGACTGTTTTCTGTTTGTTTTTCTTTTTGTGAAGTGGACCAAGTAGTAAAAAAAAAAATGCAGGCACTCTGTTAAAAGCAGGGTAGGAAACTCTTAAGGGCCTAGCTTGAGTGTTAGTTGAGGGTATCCAGACTGGCCCTGTTAGCACAGGGAAAAGTGCTTTACAATTTTAAAAGCAAGTGGGGCAGATCCATATATTTCCTTTTTTCCCCCTCATCCTTACAGAAAGAAATGAAAACTTCCTGGAGCTAAGCATTTGGAATGTATGGATTATTGACAGGATGTGCCAGAAGGAGAAATTTAGCAATTTTGTATTAGCCACTGCTTACTCGGTGTTTTTTCTTTGACCTTCCTTAATGGCTTGAGGATTATTTGGCTGCAAGAATCAAAAAGCCATTTGAATTAGCTTACTTGAAAAAGGCATTTGTCATACCGTTGGAGCATTGCCTCTCAGGCCCAGTTGTGATTCCAGCTCAGTGACCTGGGGACCAGAAAGTCTTCAGGTTGAAACTCATCGATTTTCTCTTCGTTCTCTACCACTGGTTGCCTGCCGTATTCAGACTGTTAAACACTGTCCTCTTGAAACCGCTTGGCTTTTGTGTCTCTGGTTTGCCAGAGTCCCCATCTGACCCACCTCGACTTTGCATCATGGTTCCGAGCAGATCTCTTCAAGTCTTAGTTCTAAATGTCTCTGTATAGAGAGAATGTTGTTGTCAGCTCTCCTCGTTGGTTGTGGGTGGGGTAGGAAGATAGGGATAGGAGAGGGATGGTGGGGGATATTGGCATGCCTGGTAGTTTTTGGGACTTTAGCTTTTCAGACTGCTACACCAAGGTCTTTAAGACGGGGAAGGCCTGTAGGCCAGGAGAAAGTGAACGCTGGTACCTTTGCTGTACTGTAGTATCTCAGGGTTTTGAGTTCTTCCCCTAAGCACTGCATTGCACCTGTCTCAGGTAGGGATGTAACTGGATTCAGTGGTCCCTTTTCAGGACAGGTTCTCCAAGTTTGTAAGGTTGGACAGGTTACTTTAAATACTTTGTCTGACAGGTGTAGTGATAGCGTGAGAATTGTGAATTCATATGTGTGAAGCAATTCTTCCTAGCTGGCAAATGGCAGGTATGTTGCAGAAGTATGCTGCCTGGTGCCTGTTGCCAACTGGATTGGGCTTCTGGAGTGTTCAGAGATGAGAGTATCATTTTTCTCCTCAGTCTTAGAGCATATGTAGAGTTGTTTCTTAAAAATGTCTACCGTCTGTGTTTTAGATTCCGTGTGGTTGTGGTTCCCCACTTTTTTTTCTTTTTATTTGTCCCAAACCATTAAGGGTGATTATTCCTTTAGGTTCTTGGTTAATCTTAGATTCTCTCCTACTCTTTTGGTCAGCTTTAAACTCCAAATATATGGATGACTCAGTGTAACATTTCCAGGTTTAATATTAACTGAACCTGTCTTATTAGTTGCTTTTTGGATAGTACCATACTGATGTAGACCACCATCTTCCAGCTATTGCATAATTGGTGAAGGCTCTACCTTTTTTCTGATTTTCTAAATTGGAAATCTTAGCTTCATATTTTGCATTTGTTATTTTTAATAATTCTTTTAATTATATCTTGTCAATGAATAGCCTCTGTGTAGACTTATGGGGTTTCTCGTGTGAGCCAAGCACCACACCTTTTGCAGAACAGATCCATTCACATAGTTTTGCTCCAGGCAGCCCGGGGCAGAGTCTTACTGTATCAGTGCTTTTCAGTAATGTACTGCTAGCGTCCAGGAGTTGCAGGTGCCCCTAATAAAGAGAAGTTTGTTCTCCGGGCTAAAATTCTAATGTGCTTTTATTTAGAAACTGTCTTGTAGAGGGTTATGCGTAATATTAAGAACCTGACTTTATAGTCCTGACTGTATGGTTTTAGTTTGTGTATTTTCTTTTTGAAGTTGTATTTGCAGTTGTTGTAGGGGGAGTTTGAAGACAGTAACAAAGAGTTCATATTTAGTGTGTGTCATTGGAGCCCATGCTGATACTTGAAATACCAGTGACTGGCTGGGTGCAGACATACTTCAGAAGAGAGACCAAACCTGGAATGTGGTAGAAAGACCAGTGACATTTTTTTTATGGCTGTTCAAGAAAACAGATATGGGTTAAGTTCAAACAGCTTCTGCTTAGGTGACCCTGCTCTTCATTGGATGATGTCATTTGTTAGCACATGCCCTTCAATTTCATGTGCTTGAAATTTCCCTTCACCTTACAGTTTGTTCAGCTCGGTAAATAAAGGTTTTGGTTTTGATAAGGCCTTTGAGGAATGCTGACAGATAACTGAGGCCTGGCCTTGGATTGTGCCTGAACTCTTGAGTGAGTGCAAGGTCAAGACACTTGGACGCACAAGTCTTAACTACTGTTACTTAGCTGCTTTGGGAATGGCAGTTGAATGTTGCTAGTACTTAGAGTTAACCCAGGCCATAAACTTGTGTGCTTTTAATTGTAATGCAAAGCACCGCAGTCTCAAGTGCTAAAGTTAGCTTTACTCCACCAGGCAAGTGTGATGATTTTTGGAGAGTTGATTTTCATACCTGGGTAGGTGCTGCTGGCATCCAGTGCACAGCAGATCCACGGTACACAAAGACTGGCCAGTAGTGCTGGGAAGAGAATTTTATGAAGGCAAGAACACAGTGTATCTTCTACATGGAAGAATGGGTTGACTTAGGAGTAAAGTGTAAAAAGTCAGAAACTATCAGAAAACAAGTGTCTTAGTCATTGTTTGGAATGCTCATTCTTCTTAATATAACTAGCCATTGTTTTGGAGAGCAGTTAGGATAGCTGTGGTATTTTTAGATTTAGTAAGTCAAGCAGCAGGTCTGCACTGAAGGGAGGAGCCGGCATTTGTGTCCTGTTTGCTGTATTGTCACCTCTCACTGTGTGTGTGAGCCTTAACCTCTGTCTGTATCCCACTGCCCTTATTAGTGTTGATTCTGTTTTGCTTCCTAGTGGTCGCTGTAGGGTTTGTAGCTTTAGCTCAGCACAGGCTTCACACAGAACGTTTCCATACATAGTGTAGACATCTAATGACTGACCTCGACTGCTAACTCACCACATCTTTGTTCTCTCTGTCATGCATTTCACTTTGGTGTCTAATCAGTTGTTTTTTTTAAAGTTCTTTCTTAAAAGCGACTATGAAGAAATATTCTTATATCAGCATTGTGTTACCATTTCAGGCATTCATTGTTACTTTGGTAGGTCCAGGTTCCATCTGTTATTGTTTTTGTTTGCCTGAAGAAATTCTTTTCATAGTTATATGATCAGCTTGTGATGAACCCTCAGCTCTGATCAGTGAAAAGAAATTTATTTTAGCATGTGTGGCTGTTAACATTTGCACTGATGGTCGTTGGCTGGCTTCAGGCTGCCTAGCTGTTGGGAGTGCTGGCATCCTCATTCTCTGCGTTAGGGACTCGCTCCTTCCTCATTGCCTGCCTTTTGTTTCTAACAATCTGATTGTGTTTCATTTTAGTGGTTTTTAAAAATGTTTTTCTTCTTAATATTTATCGGATTTTCTTGGAGCTGTCACTGTTTTCATCAGATTTGGTGCATTCTGGACCAGTTCTGGATTATTTTGCCTTCCTATTTTTGGTTCTGTACCCCAGCTGACTTTTGGGCTTCATGTGTACTTGTATTTGTGAGCGTTCACACACGCGCGCGCGCGCACACACACACACACACACACACACGTAGTGGCATTTTAATTGTATTTTAATAAGTAAAGACTGAAGATCTGAGAGTAAAGCTGTT